AATCCATTATTTGACTAGAATATTATTCTAGAATAAAGTTTTATATATCACAGTAAAATCAATATGACAAAAAGGAATAAGTGTGTACTTTGGTTGTTTTTCACACAGAGGAAAATTTCTAGCTTGATAATAGGTCAAAGTTAAACTGAAAATAATTCCACAGTGTTTCCTTAGAGCTGCCCAAAACAAAAAAACACATACCAAAAAAATGACATGGGAATGCAATGGGAAGTCAAACTATACTCGTGAAACAGATCAAAACAATATGGAAAGGTATTGCAGTTGGTAAGAAACCATATGATCAGTTACCTAGAAAACAATATGAAACATACATCTGTCAATCAACTCATAGTTGATTGTGAGTGATAGGCCATAGCTGTCTATGTCCTCAGGCTGGGACATTGTTTATCAATATCGGTAGGAGTACAGATTATAATATTGTATCTCAAGACTGATTAAATGATTGGCTTTCTGGAGCCAAAAAGCGTACGACTGAACCATACTCGTCGCCAGGTTTGAGAGTGATTGTAATCAACGATTACATTCGTTCAGAAAATGGGGCATTAGTCGCGTGTCAAAGCGAGTTACTCTAATGACTGCAGATCTCTGCATTCATTCATAAACTCATCTACAAATTACGACAATCCATCCAAATGTGACCTTGGCTTTCAAGGTCAGTAATCGCCAATGCACATCCTGTGAGTTGATCTTACACGTTTTGAATCTCCTTGCAGCCAACAGACGACTGTTTATGTAACGGGTCAAATGCTCTCCCAGGCGTTCATTCATAAATCTACAATGAAACTACAGACGTCCCATGCCGTGTGACACCTTTGTGATTGGTGAACAAGTTGCAGCAATTACACTGATTCAGCAGCCCCAGTTTGGTCAATCAGCCATCAGCCCCTCTCTGTGTGGGACCACTGCAGCTACAGCTAAAGCTGCACTTGAAATTTAATTGACTCACGAGGTTAACAACCTTTCAACTTATATCGACTGTGCACTCTTAGTTCAACCTGGGGCCCTATTCCCTATTCACACAGTGTAGTTTCATGACTTTTGTCGTAAAAGATGTAATTCTTATGTTCAGCACCCAGAAACAAAAACTGAGAGGTCGGTCATCTTAGGGCAGATATTTCTAGTTCATAGCCGACCTATTTCATGATGCAGGTTTTGGTGTTTTTAAGATTCTAATTGCTTCTGTGCACCCAGTGCATGAGTACATGTACCCATATTTAAACTTCTTTTTTTCTTATTCAGCAACTTATTCTAATGGAATATATAGATGTAAATATTGCTGACTGTGCAAAAAAGGATATTCACTAACTCTACTGGGCCCTGTTCCACAAATCCATCTTAGCGCTAAGGTGATCGTAACTCCCATACTTAACACTGGCTTACGATAGTCATAGCGCTAAGATTGCTTTGTGGAACGGGTCGCTGGACTGAGTTTAGATAATTTTGTTACAAAGATTTATATGCACTTCCTTACCACACTACAAACTCACTCCACCCTTACTACTTCCTCCATTTATGATTATAACATTTGTTAAAATATATAATGGGCAACAAAATAGACAATCCCGACTATGCCACTTCACAAAAAGAATAACCTTAAAACCTATCCCTTCCTCATTGTTAAAGTTCACAAGAAGCCTCGAAAACATTACACATGTCACAGCTCAAAGAAACAAAACTCAACCTGTCAATACATAAATATTCTCCCTTCATCATTTCTACATTCACCATCATTCTGAAAAATATTAGTCATCGACAAAGAACAGTTCTAAAACACACAAAACATTACCAAGAACACGGGAAATAAATCAAACAACTCTCCATCTAACCAAACTTGACAATAAACGACTGGTAAACCAAACCTCAGCACCAAGGTCTAACATAAACAGTCTGATATCCAGTTTCTGTCATCCTCCCACAGTGTCCCATCCATGCAGTGTGATTAAACTATTTCTGATCCCATGTTTCAAACATCAAGAACACATATGCACACCAGAAGATGGAATTCTGGTCTAAGTGTCCAGTTTATTTTCTATTCCCCTCCCTGGGAGACGCTAACTATGCTATTGACGATGGAGGCTTGATGAAGGCTTCGGGGCATTTCCACTCCATGACAGTGTTGGGCATTGGACAAAGTCAAGCACCATCTTTCACCCTTCAGATCGCTGCGAGCATACATCAACGAACATACATCAACGTGTCACTTCCCACCCTGTGGTTTATGGTGACTATTTGGTGAATATATTAATCCATATTTTGAACATAAATGGGATATTTACAGGGGAACTGGTATAGGCTTGGCTCACATAAACAACCACTGTAAATTAATTGGATAACTGCTGCTCAAGAGCTCAATACCGATGAATGTTTATCATCCTGTTCCCACAACCAACACAGCCTTCTTCATATCAGGTACCCTTTAAAGTTGAATTGTCCTTCTGATGACTGATCAATGAAGGAAAAACTTGGGACATAGAAAGCTGACCATCTGTTTGATCCAACAATGAAGAAAACTTTGGACATAGAAAGCTGACCATCTATTTGATCCAACAATGGCGAAAACTTGGAGCATAGACAGCTGACCATCTATTTGATCCAACAATGACAAAAAGTTGGAGCATAGCCAGCTGACCATCTAGTTGAATTGTCCTCATGTAAAAGTTGAATTGTCCCTCTGATGATCAAACAAGGAAGAAAAATTGGTGTATAGACAGCCGATCATCTTGTTGAATTGTCTTCATGTAAAAGTTGAATTGTTCATCTGATGTCTTGAGCAATATTCCAGCCGGTCACACAAGACATAGGCTTCACTTTACCCACGTTGGGAATGAAACCAAGGCCTTGGTATGACAAGTGAATGCTTTAACCACTAGGCCACCACACCTCCCATTTGTCACCTTACTGTGTACTGAAGGGAAGAAATCACAGATAAAGAATACTGGTTTACTTAAATCATTGCTGGATGAAAATCTGCCAAACAGAAACATGATTATCTAATTCAAGTTGAGATATAAGACAATGTCCAGATTTCAGGGTACACATTTCTCAATCTGGACTTGGACTGGACATGGGTGTCTGACCATTTAGCAAGACCAGGTTCTGCCTGTTCAATTTCAGATTACATATTCATAAAAGTGCACATTTCTCAAACTGTGAAGTTTATCCCAAACAGGAAACCTTGTATATAAAATCTAGGACAAACCTAAAACAAACATCGAACACTAAAATGATAACAATTAGAAAAATATACAAACAACTTCATCAGACATGGACTGTTTCATCAACATTTGGAACCACCCAGCCAATATCCGAATCAAGAACCACATGTCTCCAGTGCAACAAGTCTACACGCAAGCTAGGAACCCCCGATCTCAGACGTAAAAGACGGCACCACTTGATACATTTAACTTTATTTTCTTTTGGTTAAATGCCAATTTGATCCTAACATGTAAGACCAGTTTTTCACTGCTCTGATGGTGGTTTTCAACCCCTGATGAGGACACACTGATGAGAGCATGTGGTTGCAAGATGGTCGGCAGGAATATGGAGTAAACTGTTCAGGGCGTGACCGTCTGCTGCTTGTCACATGACAGGTTTCCAGTTGCTGTATGTCGATTGTCCCTATTGTCCACGGTCCTACAAAAATGACAAGCCTTAGATCTGGGATAAAAATTGTTGAAAATTATATTTTTTTCAACAAGTTTGTCCCTATCGTTTCCTCACGTCTGCACCAGCATGTGCCGTCTGCTGTTTGAGATTTTTTTTTCTAAATACCATGTGATCCAAATGCATTGGACTGGTTGTAAATGGATATCTGTTTGTAAAACTGGATCTTGTTTGTAAAATTCATTTGCTACTTGTGAAATAATTCATTAATTTAATTGTTACCCAAATTTCATATTTTCTTTATATTACATGCTTGTTTGCCCAAGTTTGTTCCTCAAATACGATCCAGCCTAAGTAAATGGAGTCTTGAATTATTAATGGCTTCAATATGTCATTCCATTTCATTCAAGTTGTACATCTGACATGCAAAATAATATACAAGATAAAACTGGACCACCTATGCACCAAATATTTTTACATGCAGGTTCAACATGTTCAATAATACCCCTGCATAAGGCTGAACATGATCAATAAAAGGCTTACCCTGTAATCTGCATATCTCTATTTAAACAGTACCCAGCCTACTGTGCATTTATTTATTATTACCGATATTTGTATCATAAACAGTCAGTCATATTATCATTAAAAAATAACCCAAACCTTTTTTAATAGAATATGCAGATCTAAGAACAAAATTAATTAGCAAAACTTATATACTGATTATTGACAATAAATGAAATTATTAATTAAAACTTTTTTGAAGAAGGATCACATCAGACACTTAAAACCTATGAATTGGAACAAAAGACAAGGTAAAAAATGGATGTCCAGAAGAAGTTTGGGATTAGCGTTGCCAGGTAGCCCTGCCACAAGTGAAGTAGCAGGCCCCACACCTGCCTGTCTCGACATGACAGTTCCAGCACTTGATCAATCTTCCCTGAATCCCTGCCACAACCGACAACCGCGAACAAGCTGGTCCTGACAAAGGTATTAGGCAAATCAGGACACATAATAGAATGTTGAAAGACCCTGTTGCGGCGACAACCTAAAACCTACATTTATAGGTAGGAAGCATTGCCGGAGTCCAGGCACAAAGACCAAGGGAAATATTTTTACGAAAGAAAGCGAAGGCGAGATAGACTAACAGAATATCATTTTCTTTATTCCCCGTCCTATGCTATTGTAGTCGTTCTCTTGAATCAGTCAGTATGCTGTAAGCCTGTCAACTTGAATAAGTCTCAAATGCTTGTTATAGATTGAGAAGTTGGCAAACTGCCTGCTTATAATTCAGGTCATGCATGGGTAAAAATCTGGCTCAAGGGCTAAGTGCATGTTGGGTACCCCTCTTGCTCACGCTTGTCGACTGAATAGTTTACCTTCACGCGGGTGGCTGGCTTTTGTTGTCGCAAGCTATTCTACAGCCGAGGTGGTGTGATTGTGAAGCACTTTTCGCCGCATCAGCAAATTTCTCTTCATATACGTCCATCTGCAATAGCATCGTGTTCTCATTGTAATACAAGTGTGATTTTTACTACAGGTGTTTCTCATTTGATTTTCTGTCCAACAAATTTTATTATTCCCTTGTTCAGATTTTAAATTCAAACTTGGTTGTCTTCATAATGGAAAAATGAAATCTTTTGTAGAGGGAGTCACTGCTAGATTCTCGACAAACACTGCTCCATCCTCCCAACAGCATTGCTTCACTATTTCGTAATATATGGATGATCTATTTCACGGTGGGCCAACACATCTTTTCCCATCCCAAAGTACCTAGATACCCTCCACTACACAATCATTCACTAGCATCAGTTTTCACATTTCTATTCACATACATAGAGAATCTCACCCGAGTGTCTTTTGATATCAAATATATCAATATGAGTTGATAAACGTTGAAAAACTCTGAGGCTTGTCGAGGAATTTTTTCACGTTTATCAGCGAGTGTTGATATATTTGATATCAAAAGACACAAGGGTGATATTTTATTTTCATCCAACATCATTCTTCCAACTTTTTCAGTTTGTAGACAGTAATAGGCAGTGTCTTAAGTGTAAAAATTACTGCTAACAGCTTCAGTAGCAGAGCCATTACTGATGCCATTTGATTGTGACGTCATGGTAACCAATGATGCCATTTGATTGTGACGTCATGGTAACCAATGATGTCACAATGGTCTCTACCCTGTTCACTCCCATTCTGAATTTCTACATAAAAGGGAGACAACTCTTACATAAGCCTTCGGTCAGGAATAACAATAAGACGTATAATTACATAGCTGGAGACAGGTGTATGTTGATTTAGTATAGCCTATCGCCTACACCGCATGATGCATTATAAAAACATCTTAAAACACTTGTCAATTTGCAATGATCAATGTCATATGACTAAGGGACTCTGTGCTAAACAGATCGATTATCAGAATATATCTACATAGCTGATCTGATATTCTGACCCACAGATACCTGTCTCGCCAGCTAGGAAGAGAGTCGCCATCATATTTGGCATATCTCCAGCCCATCGGTTGAACATACCTCCAGACAACGTGTTAATGAATTATCGGTACCTTTAAACAACATGTACCAGCTATGGTAGACATGATTAATGAGGGAATGAATGCCTCAAGGCACAAATGTATTTGATGACATCATAAATTAATAGAATTGAAAAGCCCCTAATATGCAAACCTATCTGCAATTTCTATTCAAAAGAAGTTGTAAATAATTAGAGAAAATCACAATGAAAATGTGAAATTATTTTGTGGCATGAAATTATAGCTTATTTTTGTCCAGTCACACAGATCATAACATGAGTCTCCAATAACCATACATTCAGAAATCAGCACATTTTGAATATCAATCTTATCTCATATGTGAACAAATATCTTATCTACTGTTGCATATCAGCACTTGTTGTGACCTTCACCTTTCTCAATTATCAAAATGGTCGTCAATTGTTTTCATAATGGCCTATTTACATTGAAACACTTAAAATCAACATTTTACAAACACCAACTTATTATATGACAACTTTGAAGCAATATTCATCAAATTTAACGAGATATATTTAACAACCACAAGTCACGACAAAGACTTCCCTGTATGTCAATAAATTCTATCAGTGAAATATTATCTGCAAACTAACCCTCCAAAGTGGACACTTACCACCTATGAATTGTAGTGCAAATCACTGACAAGTAAAAAATATGTATTTACTTTATCTGTGAATAAGCATAATAAATACAGAACAGGTGTGAAACCCTGACATACCCCTCTCTCAACAACATGATGACTCAAAATATAAAGTAAATTTGTTGCTGTGCAGGTCAATAAGTTATGTTTCGAGTGTCTCCGGTATCTTCTCTTCATAGTTCTTACCTACAACGTATCCTACAGGCTGTAATTAAGTGTACTTTCCAACAATAAATCACCTGACAACTGCAGTGCTCATAAACCCTTCCACTAGGAGTCCTTGTAGGGGTTTAGCACAGAACCATGTCAAAGTATCAGTGTTAATAAAATTTTGATCAAAAACCATGTCAACACTGTGACAGAGATATACGATGTTATTATGTGTGGTGACAGTGTGTCCTCGTGAGCCTCATTCTGACTCTTGTCTTCTCACACCTGGATTTCTACGCCACATATGCCATTGGGGAAACATGCATTATGCAACACGATGTCATTTTTGCAGTTCATAATGGCGAGAGTGAGTGAGTGAGTGTGGTTGTACGCCGCTTTTGGCAATATTTCAGCAATATCATGGCAGGGGACACCATAAATTGGCTGCACACATTGTATCCATGTCGGGAATCAAACCCAGGTCTTCGGCGTGACGAGCAAACGCTTTAACCACTAGGCTACCTGACTGCCTTTCATAATGGAGAAAAAGAGTTTGAATGATTTGTTGCCTCGTTCACCATGTATCCTTACTTATATGGTACACATACCATTTCATCTTAAATGGCCAGATAAATGGAATTGAGTAAGTGAGTTGGGTTTAACGCCGCTTTTAACAATATTCCAATTATATCGCGGCGTGTCAGCTTAATGTTGGAGGAAAGCCCGAAGTGATTCAGGTCTAAGATGTTGACCACTTTCGGTGAAACCCATGAGTGTGGGTATGGTGCTGACAAACCTAGAAACATAATCGGGGTGAACCGGGTTTTGAACCCACAATCATAGGTTTCTGGCGTGCCCAAGGGACGCAACTCTGAACAGCGAATCGCGGAGCCTTAGACGACTGGGCCACCTGTGCCCCCAGACAAATGGAGAAAAAAAAGGCAGCGTCATACCAAAAGACATTAAAAGATGGTACTTGTTGTTACCTTGTCTGATGCTCAGCATTAAGGGGTTGAAATGCATACACACACTAAAACTAACTCTTCTGATGATATACTACTCACAAAGGGTTAAGGACCAAGAAATGTTTTCATATTACTACAGTTAATCTGTCATGCGTTGACAGTTTAAATACAGTAATATGAAAGAATCAGGTGGTCCTAACCGTTTTTAGTTGTATACGATCCTAATATAATTACATGATTAGAGAATACACCCTTCCCTTTCTCCCAGTTCCGACCATTTGATATTCGACGGGGAGGGAGATTGGCACTGCCTGGGATTTTGTTTCAAGATTAGATACTTTCAGCTACAGCTTCAAAACCAGATATTTTTTTTATCTAAAACTATGAGCCTGAGGTTTTTGGGAAAGAAAAACACCTTGCAACAATGTCATTTCTGTGGCAGGCAATTTCTGGGTTTTTTGGACGAATTTTCAGGGGCAACTGATTTTTTTTTATCAAATCTCAGGCCTCTCCCAGAATATCAAATGGTCGCTCCCAAAGTGGATTTATATGAAACACAACAAATCTGACCTTGAAGCACTATGTCACAACAAACACACAAGGGCCATTAGCATCTGACCCTGATAACCCTGCATTTAGCCCACTTCACATTCATAATGTAATCAGAATGTGATACAGATTCATAAGGGATACAGTATCTGGCGGCCATCGATGGCCGTGATGCCCACCTGGGGTGACACCTACAAGAACTGCTGAAGTGTAATGAGTTGTGGATATTTATCTTGATGACGCTGAATCTGTGGTGGTGTGATTGCCTTCACAACATGGGAAAGTTTTATCAAACTGTCATTTGTGTTATCTGGTAAAAATGTAGCATTGTTTATCAAGAGACTATGATTGAATCTTCACAAAACCAGAGGTCACGTTTCTATTTCATGCCCTTAAATGAAAAAAGCCTTTATTCACGTTACTTTCATTTACTGGGTACATATACCACATACCTGGAGTAAAGCAAAGTGGAGTGGAGTGGAGTGGAGTGAAGTGGAGTGGAGTGGAGTGGAGTGGAGTGGAGTGGAGGGGAGGGGAGGGGAGGGGAGGGGAGGGAAATGGAGTGGAGTTTCACACCAATTTTAGCAATATACCAGCAATATCATGGCAGGGAACACCAGAAATGGGCTTCACACATGGTACCCATGTGGGGACGAGCAGAACTTTAACCACTAGCCTTCCCCACCACCACAGACGCATGTTAGAAATATTTAGTCTTAGATCAACTAGACATCTGGGAACTCTTCACAAGTTCAACATATATAATAATGCCTTGTTGTATATTCTGATTCGAAAAATATAAATTCAACATATCTAAGTGTTCAGTAAGAGGGATATGATAATTTCTGCCCTAATATTCTAATCTAGTGGTCCTTCATGCATATCCCGAATTTTCAAAACATGTTATGAGTATGACGGAGAAATAAACTTCGAATGCTCTAACTAACATTTCAAATGGGTTGACCATTCTTGAAGCAATGGTCTTTACAGCCAAGTTCAGAAAGAGCTGTTAGGTCTTACGTTTAGCCGTGTCTTTCAGCTTTATGTGGCAATGGCAAAACAGGGAGTGTGAATCCATGAAAATAACAAAGTTACAACAAAACGTAAAAACCCTTAACAAAATCATCAAGCAGTTGAAGCAGACATAATTAACACTCTGAAACGGTGTGCAACCTTTAGTGATAACACTATAAAATCTGTGTTATCATATCTACTCATAAACCCTTCACATATATCAGTACAAGACAATGGCAAAAACATTTCATGTACAATTTTCTCTCCGCTTCACATAATGTCTGTCAATGGGGCTCGAGGATGTTGTAGACAGTCAAGTCAATGGGGGAGTTTCAGTTTGGAGAAACTAGAAGCCACCAAACCGTGACAAAATGAGGAAATTACATGGTGTTTGTCAGACCCAAATGCAGGTCTCCTTATTTCTGACCGAGATTCTGATCTTCCCTGAGTGTTTGCTTTTCAACATTGAACCAGGCAACAAGCATATCCTGTTATAGGGACAGAGCTGATGTACATGTGGTTCAAGTGTCACATGGTCTGTGTCGACTGACTCGTAGTTTCCCCGGGGAGGGAGGGGAGGGGGGGGGGGGGGGATGTATTGCCCCTGGCTACAGCTTCAGTTCTCATCAAGAGACAAAACACTACATATTTGTGTCTTTAGGAAATCACCCCATTTTGACACCATTAACATTCCAATGTGTGAAAGATAAAATACATATTTCCAGTCCACAGAACTGCACATACCATTATGATACAGGGTCCACTTGCACAAAGCAATCTTAGAGCTAAGATGATCGTAACTCCCATACTTTAACATAGGCTTACAATAATCTTAGCGCTAAGATGGCTTTTTGCAAGTTGGCCCAGGAAGCTTTATTTCTGGATAGCAATTTGAATGTGGACAAGACAAACTGTCAATTTTTTGGGATGTACTATTCCAAGTTTAAGAGCCTTCCCTTGGTTGAGTTCACCTACATTATTTCATTTATCTAGGCCAGCCTATTTTTGTGTGAGTGAGTTGGTTTTGAAGGCGCTTTGAATAGTACACCAGTTATATCACGTCGTGGCAGCTCGATGCACGTCTCAGACGTTTATCATTTTGGCAAAACCCATGACCAATGGCATGGAGCTGACAAATCTAGAAACATAACCGAGGCAAACTGGGATTCGAACCCATGATAACACGTGTCTGACATGCCCAAGGGACACAACTCTTCACAGCAAACTGCATCGTTTTAGACGATTGGGCCACCGGTGCCCATTCAGAACACGGACAACATAAACTGTCAATTTTCGGGATGTATCATTTCAAGTTTACCAGCCTTGCATCTGTTGCCTTCACATAAATAATTCCTTATGACCAAGGCTAGCCTATTTTGGATATGTTACAGAAGGAGAAGCTTCACAAGATTGCTCCAACCTCTTTTCACAGAAATCATTGCACAAAGCAAAAGTAATACTTCCACTTGCTCCTTTACGTTAACATGACTATCTAACGAACACCTGGTGTCATTACTGATGTTCAGTCATCCATTCATAAAATTTCACTATTTTGCTTTTTAAGCCCTATGAAATCTGTTTTGGCAGATAGTCGACCGGCATTGATGATTTATATTTACAATAGCTATTTTGCCTTTTACGACCTGTGTAATCTGCTTTGGAAAATAATCAAGGTTATTCCTGGGCGTTGATGTTTTACGCTCACAACAATTGAATCCTTATGACTGCTTAGTAAGTTACAGAGTGTGTAAGCAAAAGAGATAAGAACAGAAAAAACCCAGACAGGAAACTTTGGCTCGAACTCTTGTCAAACTTTGCACCACATCCCAAGGTCAAGTCACCCATGACTTCAAGGTGACTCGTTGAGGTGCAGTATTTTTTCTCATTTCTAGTTTGGGCCAAATCTCTAAAATCCCCTGCATAGGCCAGAGCACCTAGACTAAATCCTCTCATTTATAACTCCCCTCTACCCAATGTGAAACTGATTATATCCTGTGTTCCCACAGGAGACCCAGCACAAGTCCAGACTTGAACCCGGTGTTTTCCATTCACACTGAAATTAGGACAAAGCATGTACCTCCTCTACCTTCACCCTTCTGCTCAGCAGACTTTGTAGTCAAGCGCAAGTGTAATAAATATACCTCTTATCTGTGCAGGTATAGCATCAGAAATGTGGAAAACCCTGCCATGTAGAGTTTTTTCAAGTTTAAGTGGCCCTCTTGTTTGCTGAGTGTGTCAGATTGTAGTTTATGTTCGTGGTTCTCTTCATTCATAATCTTAGCTACCATTCATGTTGTATTTTTTGGTGCTTGTTTCTTTGATTTTTTTATTCATCCATTGGTAAATAAATTACATGTCGGACTTCATTTTAACCAAAGTTGTATCAAGTCTTTGAAAGGCATTGAGAAGTGATACACATGAGGAAGAGAATTGATGGATGTCAACTTCTTTATTAAGATGTCAACTTCTTTGTTATTAGGAACACAACGTTTCAGAGTATATGCTTACTCCTTCATCAGGTGAAATTTGTGAAATTTCACCTGATGAAGGAGTAAGAATATAATAAGATAATATTCTCCCGCATGTCATATCATGTAATATTTACTTGTTCCATTACCCTGATATGCCTACTCAACTAAATGTTGTAATTATGGTTATATTGAGGAAGACTTCCTGCTAGTTTGCTCAGCATATAAATGGTAATGTACAATACACAGTAAACTACAGCCATCACGAACACGTTTATAAAGAATTGACGGTATAACAAACGTATTGTTTGGTCCCAACCATCTGTCATATTTATGCTGTATGTTTGCTTATAACAAAGTACAGTTATAATGAACTAAAATTAGGTGTCTCTGAGTTTGTCATAACTGTAGTTTACTGTATATATATATATACTAGAGAGTTAAAGCCTTTATCCCAATAAAAACAAATTTTATCTATTAATGGTGAGGTGGTGAGGTGAAATTGGGTTTAACGTCATGTTCAAGATTGTTGCACTTATATAGCGATGTGCATGTACGTGCGTGTGTTTGTGTGGCTGCTTGTACTAGTCCGGACTAATTCCGATTAATAGTGCTAGCTCACTGAGATACCATGCCGCAGTTTAACATGAATACCCCACTCAGACAGTATACTGACTCCGAGCCAACCAGTCCTTGTTTTAGCCCCTTGATGCCGAGCCCCAGACAGGGTAACAACAAGTACCATCTTTTAACGTCTTTTGATATGACGTGGTCGGGGATCGAACCCCGGACCTTCCGCTCTCCGGGCGGACGCTCTACCACTAGACCACGGAGGCGGTCTGTCTTTTAATGGCCACAAGAAGCACTCAAAACCTTGCTGTGTACTTTTATCCTGCAACGGTCCAAGGTAAAACAACTCTAAAAGTATAATGTCATAAATCCTCTATCTTGTCAACTCCACCTATAAATATGTTGCATGTATTCTGCATGTCATGTAACCAAATATAAAAATGGGCTGTTGTCTTTCATTTACTAAAATAGGGACACAACTGCCTACACCGGCATGCAACAGATCAAATTCTTACCATCACTCTTCAATCTGTCCACCTTCAGAGACATCTATCTGTAAAAGAAAGCAACATCAGATTGAGGGAATGAACGGAGTATGTCTGTGAGTTGTACTAGAGTTATGATATGCTGTTTGAAATTAGATATGCATTTGACATTTACTAGTCTGGGAGTGAAAAGCTGACTTCCACTGTCACAAAGATCAATTTCAGTTACATATGTTTCTGTCATAGCTACAGACACTACAGACCAAGGATGCTGGTCAAGGGTAGGACGGGTACCTCAGGTAGGACCTGGGTACCCACAAGACTAGTTAGTCACTTTCATATGTTAAAGTGACCTGTGAAAATCGGGATTCGAATATGTCTTCAGCAACCCATGACTAACGGGATGGGGTGGTCAGACTCATCGATTTGGTTGATGCATGTCATTGAATCCCATTGAATAGCGTGGATCGATGTTCATGATATCAATTACTGGATTGTCTGGTCAAGATTCGATTTTTTACATTCAGCGTTAAGAACAAACAAACAAACAAACAAATTCATATGTTAAGTAAAGATAAAGCTTCAGTCAAATTCAGTTTATGATCAGCTCGGTTTATACACTTATCTAAATAGTTATAGCTCCGGTGAGGGAACAATTCCCCATTGGACAATGACAGTATGTACTAGGGCTGGGATGGGTAACTCGGGTACCCGGGTCCTACTCAGTACCCACCGGACCCGGACAGGACTACCCGGACCCGTGGTTATTCACGTGATATATTGTTTATTGACAAAAATTATCTAAAACTCTATGGTTACACAACAAGTCACAAATGTTCGCATTTCTTTCTGACAATGCACCCATTCCTTCTGATTTTTCATACGGTTGAATAAAGATATCACTTAATTCAACTTCAGCGTATGAATGACCAGATTGTTTAATACATGTATCTCAATACGTTTTGCCAGGGCTATTCTAAAAATGTTCCCAGTCGGACATTTTGAGACATCTCCTCCTGAGACCTACAGTGGGTACCCGGGTAGGGTTGGGTAATAATGGGGTGGGCACCCGGGTAGTAAATTTGAACTCCTCACAGCCCTAGTTTGCACCCATCTCTTGAGATCTACAGTGGGTACCCAGAAGGATCGGGTAACAGGAAGTCAGGTACCAGGACTGTCCCAGCCCTAATACTCATACAACTAATCCACATCTGGTAACCTCAACAGTTGTCATTTCATCACATTTGGGGATCACAATGTGAGTAGTGAGTTTGGTTTCATGCTATTTCAGTTATATCACTGCATGGCATCTCTACAAGTGAGGAAATCCCAGTTTGATGCAGGAAATAAACAGTTATCACTTCAGTAAAACCAAATCAGTTCAAAACTGGGACTTGAACCAAGCATCAGTGGATCCTGACATGGTTAAGGGAAACAACTCTTCACTAACTGTAACTAAGACAACTGGATCACTGGGATTAGACAAAATACAATCATACAAAAGTTTACCTGCATGAGCATATTACAATATTTAATACCCAAAAAGGAAAATATCGCAATTGTATAAATACAAGCTTAAATTATAAATAATTTCAAACTTTTCTGACTTCATTAAGCTTGTAAAAGCATGATGTGCAGTTGGGTACCTTACCTAGTTGCTCAAGTATTTACTCCTCACCAAGGTGGAGGCCTCAGAAATAACAAAATAACCAGCATGTAATTTCCACAAAGGACACAGCCTTAAATCAGGGTTTTACCTTGACCTACAAAACTAGGGGTTTCGGGGACCCCCAATAATTAATTTCAAGGGTCCCTACAGGGTCCTGTAAAGTAATGAAATGGCTTATGGAGTCGTGTACTGTACTGTAAGCGAGAGGAGAACAACAAGGGTGCTAGCCCGACGCAGTTTCACGAATGTTAAACGTATCCTACGGGCTGATAGAATTACAATTTTTCGGGGAATTAGATGTATCTGTATGTTACCAGTATTCGGGCTAGTAGACTTTCTAGGTTAATGTCTATCCCTGGTAACATTTGATAATCATTTTAAGTACAAAATCGTCATATTTCTTGTAAAGAATTTTGTACAAAGAATATTACTGTGTGTTCCTCGGGATGCAACATATTTGTTTTCTGTGTTCATTCTAAACATTTGTGAGTGCTTGATGCACATTTCTGTATCGTGTAAAACACTCTTAAATCAGTCATGTTTATACTAATATGCATAGATGCAGTTCACATGGTCTCACTCATCAAGTGGTCCGAGGTTCTGTTTCATGCAGAGCTATTCATACCGATATGAACAGTTTTTCAAATACTGTCAAAACTTCTAACATTTCTTCAGTATTCCTAACATAGGGAAAAAGCTTAAATATGTCTGACCAGGTGTGCAGAATATGAATAAAAACCAACAGCTTGGACCTATGTAATAACTGATGACTGAGTTGATTTTTAAAACAGACTTTTTGTCATTTCTAAATTTTTATGAAAATGAATTTTCAGATAATCATTTCTTTCTGAAATCAAAACATCCCTAAAAGCAATTCAGCAAAAAACAAAAATATAATGTAATTTTCATCATGCTGACAACAAAATCCGATGTTTTATTACCAAAATATATGTAAAAAACAACCAGGGTGTTTAATAGATGAAGCAATACTCCCAAACCCTGAAGACTCCCTATTGATATCACTAGCCTGCAAGGACAGCCCCAACACAAGATGGTATTCAGCATACACAATGAAACATGCACAAAACTACCTCTCCTTTGTCCAAACATTAAACTATTATTTGCAAATTTCAAAACATAATTACTGTTTACTGATGTCAAACATTTAACTATTTATATTCTGAACAATTATCTTCACAAACGTATACATAAGTGGATCATTTTAATATTATGTGATAAAGTGAGTGGGATACAACCTTGAAAGGGTTATTCAAAAAATATTGAATAGTATCTATTGCTACAAAATTGTTGAGGAATTGAAAACACTCTCAACATTTTTTGTGAGGCCTACATTAATGAAATTTTATCTGTGAAATATACTTTTAAAAGCCTCTTGTTGAAATTTAGCATTCATTGTGAAATTGACATATTGAAGTCTGAAAATCAAGGTTGTTCCAACTCTCTATGCAATAATTTAAACTGGTTTAAACAATTTCTATTCAAAATTTCAATTATTGAAAAGTTAAATTTGAGATTTATACTTAACACTTCCTATTTTAAAAACTTGAAAAAAACTATCAAGATAACTATTGATAAGTTCATTATGGGAGAAAAACATATTAAGAATCAGTACAGAAATTATGTGTGAGCAAATCTTGTCAAGATTCTTTTAAGTTCCTGTTCAAGATCTCCTACGACTTTGAAAAACCTTAAATATTTGTTCATAAAAAAACAGTTGACCAGTGGATGAGTGAGTGAATAAGTTAAAAGTTAACATTGCACTGGCATTATTTCACCCATATAGTGACAAGAACAAGTGCATATATACGTGATGATACATGATAACTTTTGAAATCCTTATCAAGGCGATAAATTTTCTGTTCAAATGCAATTTCAAATGATTAGGACTGATAGTCATATTCTTCGTTTTTGTAAACACATTTACAAATTGATCTAGAAAAATGTCTTTTAATGAACTTTACTTGCCCACTTAAAAGAAGTCTTTAACATTTAAAAAAAACCAACTTACTTACAGTCTGATCAAATTAATAAGATTAACAAAATAAATTTTAAAACAAACAAATCTGTACGCATTCTTTTCTAAAAAAAGATAAGTTAAATTCATAGAATCAACACAAAAGACACGTTTTCAAGCACAAGCAGAGACAAGTGGTTGGGTGCCTTTGGTCATGATTTAAATATTGACAGACTGTTAATCAGGCAATCTATTCTGTGGGTAATCTGCACCAATCAATCCAGAAATGCAACCCATCTATATTTCTTTACTCTAATGACAGAGAGCCTCTTTGGCATAAGCTAAACAATACTTGCAACAGATAACACAGGTCTGTCCTTAATTGAAAACGTATGTGTGATAAATCCACTTATCTAGATATTTACAATTCCCAAGAAACAGATAAAAAAATAACAACACTTCATCTCATGTTTCCACTGATAAAACACTGCGTTGGTGTCAATTTCAACCCCACAGACGAAATAGAGCTCAAAAGTCCATAAATTAGCTGTCAAAGTTATTATTTAGAAATATTATTACACTTGGGAGACAATGCATGTGATATTGTTAACACTCTTATCTTAGCCTTTGACTTGAGAATCACGATCACATTTCAGCGTACATTTCTAGCATTTTTCCTTAAACGTTTATTGCCAATGTTCTCAAGCATGGTGAAATGGATATGGGTTTCAAATGCTGGCACTTGATTAAGCTGAATTAGTCATGTGCCCTTTCAGCATCTTTCATGGATCAGTTTAAACCCTGCGATGTAGATTTAATTTTCCATTTAATCCCTGACGGCTTACTCTTAAAAGAACTGACACTTTTGTTTTAGGTCATAATGTGATAAAGTTATGATTCTCCACAGCAGGAGTTGCATTAACCATATCTTAAAAATAATTTCTCCAAAGCATAGTGATTTATTCTTTATTCCCAAACTAGGGTACTATATACTCAGAGCTACAGATCAGCAACCTATTTCCATAAAATACCCCCAAAAATATTGAAAAACCCAATTACTTTCAATTAATTTGTACACAGAAACGCATGCATTAAATGAAAAACTCAAATTATAATAACAGCACGCGTAAATACCCAATGAAGCTTTTTCAGCATGGCTACAAAGAAGCTAATTTCTGAAACAATTACAAGCTTATTTACTTTCCGAGTCAAGCCTATATATTTAGAACAGTTATATACATCTAAAACATTATTTCATTTTTTTTAAATCTTAAAATGTTCACTAATTTAGGGAAAAAAACCAATAGAGTGATTAATGTATGAGTGAAAAAATATTGGTTACCCAATTAAAAATGAAATGACCCAATGAAAATAAAAACCCTAGGGTAAAAACTCAATTGCTCAAAAAGTTATCTGGAGCTCTG